CTCTTTGGGCCACCTTCACTCAAGGTTTGCAAGAGGGCTTCTTTCTCTCACAGAAAACAGTAAAGTAGATTAGCCACAATTTCTCCACCTCCCTCAATGTAGTAGCAAGATGCAGTCCATGTCTGAGGAAAAGAAGATTTATCTCAGCTCTTTCCTTGGTTGCTCTCCATTTCACTTTGACTTTGGGTTGCCCCTGTTGTCTCCTTCTCCTACAGAGGGAAACACCACCAACTTTGAGCTGTTCCTTTCCCTTGCTTGTGAGGGAGAAACTTAGCTTCACAGTGAAGACCCCACATATATTGTCAGAGGCAAATAGGTAAAAAGCCTGGGTACTGACCTTCCTATATTTTTGACATACTCATTTTGACAACTGCCTAGATCATTTGTCAATAATATCAAAGACAAAACCATCAAAGAATTGCCATGCTGTACAAAAGACCTCACCATACAGGGCTAGATTCAGTGGCAAACGCCAATTTGGCCCTGGTTACCTACAAAGCCAGCCGGCTCTGATCACACAATGTTGTGCCAGCTCCATGGGTAAAGGAGGGCAGGATTAGTGTGCTGCCGCTGCCTTGGCAGCACAGGAGGTTTTTTGTGTTGCCATTCCTTCAATGGGCAAAGTTGTGTGCTCCGAAGAAAGAAGTGGGGTGTGTGGAAGAGGCTTCCCGAAACTAGTAGTGAACCACAGTGCCGCTGAGAGCCACCACCAAAGATATGATTAGAAGGAAAACCTCAGGCAGGAGCTTGAAAAAAGTTACTTTTTGGACTACAGCTCAAAAAATACTCTAGCCAAACCAGGATGGTCATATATCGGAAATGGGGAGTGGGTGGGGTTCTTAATTGTGTTTTCAAAAAAGTATCTTTCCAAAGCTCTGATACAGGCACACAAAGATACCACGTTTTAGATTTATCTAAGATACCATGTTCTGTGCTTGAAGGACTCTGTTTCTAGCGTGTGAACAGTTAACCCTTCCCAACATATAAATACACTTTGATTTTCTGTGCAACCAGAGAGCTGCTAAACTACTTCCAAATCTATACTGTAGATGAGGAGAAGGAGCCTGCCATGCTGTGCAGTCCCTTGAACTGGAATATCGACTTACAACCTCATCAGACAGGCTGATTTACCCATCATATGCTGCTTCCTCTCCCCTTTCGCCATGGAGATCATTACACAATGCACAACAACTTCTGGTTGGGCTCCTTCATGAAAGGAGTGAGGAAGCAACATACACCACAGCAACAACACAGAAGGCATCCTGTGTTACCAGAGGCCGAGGGGCAACACTTCACCCTGTGGGATGGGGGCAGGGGTAAGTTGGGTGATGTGGGGCATGGAGTGGTGAATCCATGGGCCTTTGTGCAAAGGTCCTCTATCACAGTGAGCTTTAAGGAATTGAAAAGCAAAGCACGATGTCCAGCTACCTATTTCAAACAAACAAACAGGAAAGGCCTGCCACCTATTCAGAATCCTAAGAAGAAGTGTACATAACACCAAATCAAATGAGGAATTAATAGCACAATATTCTACTCCCTCATACGGCCTTCAGATGTTCTGGACTCTATATCAATACTGCCCACAGCTAAAAGTGGGATTCATCTCAATCCTCTAAATATAAGTTTTCCCCTTTACAGACATTTAGGACTATATACCAGCTCTGGAAGTTTAAAACAGCAGCAGTGACCACATGAGAGGAGGGTGTTATATCCAGATGTAAATGAGACTCTCATTTTGAAGAACAATTGTATCCAGTATCTTTTGTGCTCGATGCTTTTGCTATGATCCCAACTTAAAAACTTTAAGACTTTTTTTCCATTTGCCTAAATAGCTTTTTGTCAGCATGAAAATGATATAAAGGGCCCCTATGCCACTTTGTTCTGTGTCATATCATGAGTTTGGAGCAAAACACTCTTAAGCTTTTAGGCTACATTAAGTGACTGGATCATCCAACTCTCACCAAAGGGGAAAAACTGCTGAACACAGTGTAGGCAAAATTATTAACATAATTGTTTATGTTTGAGCTTGTAGATGATTGCTTTTCTGCCACCTGTTTTCACACAAGGAGGAGATGCATGAAGGTCAGTGAGTCATTAAAACATTTGGGAGCAACCGAGCAGCACCAAAGGCTGAACAATTGGCTGGGCTTAGGGGTTAACCATGTGGGGTATTTGGCAAGTATTTTTTTGGTGGGCAGTGGCAAATCCAGAAGGCTAGTAATGAGTCAAGCATCATATTCAATACTGTGATGCTGAATGCATTGCTTGGAAGGAAAGCCATAGCAGTGGAAAAAGACCATATGTATTTTGTATTCTATTTCATGGCTGCTGTGAGCCTCAGGGGAGAAACACATTTCTATACGTTGCGTGTGTGTTGGGGTGTGGGGGTGTGTCTTTGATCAAGTTCTAGCAAGTAAGACAGTGGCAATAGAACTCGGAAAATGTTATTTTTTCACATTGACTGCAGCTTCCAGATTTTTGTATCTAGGAGAGCAACCATTCTGCCTGGGGGTTTTGGAAGTTGTAAGCAAAAACAGTAAGGTTTCTAACTCATCTACAGCCATGCATACATTGTGCAGCTGTTTACTTCCTCTGTTATAAGAATGATCTAGAAATTTGATATACAGAAAGTTGAACCATGTGCAGCTATCTGAGATAATTCTGAAAAATAAGAATTTAAAACAAGTCAGTAATTAGGACCACTGTCAGTCTAAAGGAAAGGTGAGGGAGAAACTTAGCTTCACAGTGAAGACCCCATAACAACTTCCTAGTGAAACTACATTTATCACTCACAAATTAAGAAAATGAATGATGGACAATGGGGAGTTGGTGGATTTCCCCACTGGTGGAGGATGAGATTACAGAGGCAACCCAGGCCCCTTCTATACTGCCATATAACCCAGTAGATAACATATGAGTGTGGTGGAAGCTCCTTCCTTGAAAACTTTTAAACAGAGGCTGGAAAGCTATCTGTCAGGGATATTTTGATTGTGCTTTTCCTGCATTGCAGGAGGTTGGACTAGATGACTCATGTGCTCTCTTCCAACTCTATGATTCTATCATTCTATATAAAGTTGGCAATATCCTTTGGTTGAGTTCCTGCTTCATGTATCTCAATTGGTGTTTCTCAAGCTGTGCTTTCCCGGGTGCTTTGAACTTCAGCTTCCAGAAACCCCAGCGGGCTTACCAGCTGTTAGTCATTGTGGGAGTTGAAGTCCAAAACATCTGGATAGCAGAGTTTGAGAACCATGATCTAAATCATACATGGACTATACCTGGCCCTTATACATTGCCAGATTTAACACTCAAGAAAGTGAAACCAAGAACTTCTGTACCATCACAGTATTTTGCTTCTAAGATTTATCATAGAGTTATCATAATTATTCTCTCCATTTTCCTTTTTAAGACAATGACATAACAATTATATAAAAGTGTTTTCCATGAGCTGGAGAAGGCAGTACAAAAAATGACAGTTATTTCTTCATGATAGACATGTGAGGTTTTTCCTCATTTCTCCTTAGATGAACATGATATAATTTACCGCAGTTCTTGTTTCAAACCCCTTGGTCATAATCACAAATGCAAATAAAGTGAGCTTGAAATACTGCCTGATGTCACTTTCTTTTATTATTGTGGATATTTATCACTCACCATTGTGACCTATATTCTCAGGACTTCCTTCTCTCTAACTATTGGGAACAAAGACATGGTCAATAACTCCACAAAAATGTATAAAATCCCACATCTTTGAACTGAGTTATATGGCAGTGTGGACTCAGATAACACAGTTCAAAGCAGATATTGTGGATGATCTGCCTTGATATTCTGGGTTATATGGCTGTGTGGAAGGGCCCAAAGATCCATACTGTAGACAAGTATACACAGCTGCTGTTAGGTCAAATCAGACCTTTCTGATTTGTTTTGAGTAGTTTCAAGGCAACATGATAACAAAATGACTGTGACAAATGAAGACGGGCAAACATTGAAGTCAACCTCTTCAGCAGTTGCCTACTCCTGGTGCAGGATAAGGGCTAAAGGCTAGCAAAATGGCTACATGATACTAACAACAGTGCCACCGGGTGACAGAACTGTTTGCATCATATAGCCCTTTCTGCTGCTTCTTAAACCAGTCTGTTACTTGCAGTAGGGATACAGTATCCTGTTCCATTGCTAGGATTGAACTTAGATTGAAATGCAAGCTTCAGTGCATGGATGAAGAGAACTCGAATTTACCCTCAGACAGTTAAATATATTGGTCTATACTACTTGCCAACACAAAAGGTCCATAGAAAATAATAAAGGTTCCCCCCTTTTTTTATGTGAGAGAATTGGCCGTCTGCAAGGACGTTGCCCAGGGGATGCCCAGATGTTTTGATGTTTTATCATCCTTGTGGAAGGCTTCTCTCATGTCCCCACATGAGGAGCTGGAGCTGGTAGAGGGAGCTCATCTGCACTCTTCCTGGATTTGCACCTGCGACCTGTCGGTCTTCAGTCCTGCTGGCACAAGGGTTTAACCCACTGCGCCACTGGGGGCTCTTTGAAGTAAAAAGGGCATACAGAAATACTCAAATGCTAAACAGCTTTACAGTAACTTGAAACTGATTCCATCCTGATTTCCTTGTTTGAATATCAATATTATATAACCACATTTGAAAGGACTCTGCCATGGCTTCAGGAAGCTGTGGCAGAGGGATGAAAATAGACAAATGGCCACAAGAAATAATGTTTGTCCACCTGTTATGAAATCGAATTATGAAGCCATTTGCAGTTTTGGGAATTATTCAGATTATTCCTCCCAATTGCGTGTCTCTCCCCCCGGCCCATCCTGAAGCTTTGCTGGAGTAAAGAGCACTCCAGAAGAAAGTGTCTTTCTTCTAACATCACATGCATGCTCTCCATGTTTAAGTTGAACACCTAGTGCTATGAACTGAAAACTCCCTTCAAAATCTTGGAGCACCTTATTAAAGCTATTTGAGGGAATAAAATGTTGAAAAACATACCGGCAGCCAGAAAGGACTCAATACAATCTAGAATCAGAAAGAGTTGATCCAAGATGAAGACATGGAAACTTCCCAGCTAAGTGTCAGGAGAATCCTTCCAGGAGCTGATTCTTTGATAGAAACAGCTTGAACAAGTATTCCGGTCTTGAGTCCAAACTTAATGTAGGAAGGCAGATTAAGTAGGAGGAGATTGGTCCACATGTGTAGATTGAGAGGTGTGCCAGTGAAATGGTGAAACATCCAGGAACTACCTCTTGGTAAACTATTGCTTTACTTTATCCTTTTCTTTCATTCGTTCATTTTTACTACTAATTGTCCAGAGCACTTTCATTCTGGCATGAGGATAACATGCCAATACCTCTTATGAAATCAGAAGTCAGGATGAAAGACTTCCTTGTTCAGAGGATTTGGAGTTTTGCAGTAGAATTGGAAGTGAACCAGAGTAAGAAACAAATACTGAGAGAGAGAGAGAAATCAGGCAACAGATAGTACTTATGTTTGGAGAGTTCAATAATTATGTTGTTTAGTCACTTCATGCAAACAGGAGGATTAAGACAGTGGGCACCAACACACTCCTCTGAAACCTTAAACCACAGGTAGCAGAAATGGACATTTTCTAGTGCTACACCATTGTCATTCAAAACTGGTCCACTGTCCTGTGACATCATCACATCTTTCTCTTTGCTTCTGATCAAAGAAGAAAAGCTATGCCTTTGTAATTCTGTCCTATTTAACCCAACCATCACTAATTCATTGATTCTCTCCTATTTAACCTAATCATCTAGAGGGGTTGCATAAAATGTTATTATTTCTATTACTATTACACAATACATGTTCAGACCATAGCTAAGTAATTGAGTTGTTCTCCAGGTCTAGAAGCCCATGACAACAACATAGTAGCTCAAGCAGGCCCTTAGCCCGGGGGGGGGGGGGGGGGAGGAGGTAAACCAGGTTTTTTAAATGTTGAACCTTTAACCCCTCACCTATGGGCCTGATCAAGTACAATGTCACACACAACACAGTTGTGCATGGATAGGAAATCTGCATGTGTTGTCAACAAATCATGTAGTCAATATCATCTGAAGCATCTCCATTTGACACCAAGTAAGCTGTCATCCCATGTGCAGGGAGCACTGGAAGGAGCTCTCAGTGTGTGCCCAGCCACAGATGATCTAATTACTGCACTAATGCCCTGGATTGAACTGCAGTTCATACTACATTCCTTTTCAAAGGAACAAGTCAATAAATTTTATGCTTCTTCTAATGCCAAAGTCATTTCCAGAGAGACAATTGCTCTTAGCTAAAGCAAAACCACCAAGCAGCAAGAAACAGATATATCAGCATGGAGTTGCAGTACCCAAAATGGTTAAAAGGAATTGTCAACCCTTTCTTAAAAACAAAATAGTAAAGTTTGGTGTATGAGGTTGATTCCTGTGGTGCCTTAGAGACTAATAAATTATTGTTACAATATGAGTTTTCATAATTTATAGCCCAAGTAAAGGTAGAAGACTTTATTTTCCAAGTTCAAACCTCTCAAGGGAGACTAGAATGTCCTACTGGATTGCAATTCAGTAGCTAGCTCTCTTTTACTCTAATCTCCCTTTGAAATTTCTTTGCTTTATTACAGTTCCTTTAAGGAAGGAAGAAATTTCAAAGGGAGATTAGAGAAAGAGACGGCTGTACACAATGTCCCAAATATCATTAACACTCTAGATTTACACAAGGATGGTGCTGCCAGGAAAACCCCACTATAGGTTCGCCTCAGGGTCACCACAGATTAGAAATGACTTGAAGGCACACAACAACGACATCTGCACTTTTATTTTCAGTACCTTTTCTTATGTGCTCTGCATGAATTCTGACATGTTTACATCAGCTGAAACTAAATCTTGACTGATCTATTGAGCCAAAGTCTCCTTTATGGGTAGGCACTTGTGTGTGTATGAACTTGGGATTTTTATTACCAGTGTTCTGCATTTGGAGAATTACTTCTGGTGCTCTTTGGTATCAGGTTTTGTTATAACTGCTTTAAATTACAGTAGTCTCACATATCCAAAATAAATGGGCCAGCAAAATGTTGGATAAGCAAAAATGTTGGATAATAAAGAGGGGTTAAGGAAAAACCTATTAAAAGTCAAATTACTTTATGCTTTCCAAATTAAGCCCAAAAACAGTATGTTTTAAAACAAATCGACAGAAAAAGCAGTTAAATACGTGGTAATGTTATGTAGTAATTACTGTATTTACAAATTTAGCACCAAAACATCACAATGTATTGAAACAGCTATGGATCCTGGCAGGAGGCAGACTGCTTTAGACAATACTGAACATTGGATGAGCGAAGGTTGGATAAGCAAGACTGCACTGTATTATCTTTTATCAACTTGTCCACCTTACTGAGCGCACCCAACTCCAGAACATTTATGAGAAAGTTGAAGAGCATCTAACTCAGTACAGATCCTTTGGTGCCCAAGTGTTTACTTCCCTCCTCTGTGAGGACTGTTAATTTCTGGTCTCTGCTATCTGTTCTTTAACCCATCACCAATCCATAAGAGGATTTCTGTTCTTATCCCACAGCTAGCACATTTTTTTTCAAGAGTCTTTGGTGGGAGACTTTGTCAAAAGCCTTTTGGAAATTCAAGTAGGTAATGGCTACGAGATCACAGCTGTGTTCCTGAGATAGGACTTACCTTTGCAGAAGCTGTTTATTTTTTAGCTGGAGATGATTTCCTATATGCTTGACAATTTCATCTTTAATAACATTTCCCACCCATGTCTGTAGAAGAGGCATTACATTTACAAGCTTGCAGTTTCTGGAATGCTTGAAAACAACTTTTAAAAATTGGTGTTATATTGGCCAGCCTTCCATTTTATGGAAAAGAGACCTACCTTTAGGGATATGGTGCAGATGTTATCAGAGGATCGGCAATTCCACATTTCAGTCCCTTAATGTTTCTCACATGGGTTCCATTCGAACCAAGTGATTTTCTCATTTGTAATTTGTTAATAAGGCATAACATAGGGATGAAGGAATGCAGAGGCACAGGGGCCATTTCCCTTCTCGTACCCACCTATTGGATCACCCCAGGGAATTTCAGGCACACTAAAAAATGAGCATTTGGTCACAATTTTGGTCATTTTTGGGAAGAGTTGGGAACTCTGGAATACTGAGAGAAGCAAACTGTGCAACTTGTTTGGGGATTTTTGGGTGATTTCTGGCATAAAAGTGCCCCTCCCCCCAACAAGCTTTTAAAAAGATTTGGGGAGATCTTGAGCTATGGTGGGTCTTCAGTGAGTCTTCAGAGGTTGCATTTAGGAATGTTAGCAATCCCTCATTGTCGAAGTATGACGGCCTTCCAAGGGTTTTATTTTTCTTGGAAGATGCCTCTGCATGAGTTTTTTTAACGCGTGGAGTTCAATGCACAGCCGATCAATACACAATTTTCACAGTGTGAAGGTCCCAATCATTGGCATGGCTAACATGATGATAGCGGTTTCTCAATCTGTTGCAGCCTTCTTCCGCTTTCACAGCCATTGTAACATGTACCATGTTCTCTTCTGCCTGATCTGCCATTGAGGTCTTCAGGTCTTCAGATTGTGCTTGGTCTAGAACCTCTCCTGCAGTCTCTCCTGGAAGTACATGATTCCAACGATTACGCCCACAGGTTCATTGGAACACACAAGCCCCCTCACCACAACAAGGTGACAATTCATCAAGGGGGATACCACAGGCCACATATGGCCACCTAAATGTCATCATCTCCTTCCATCACTATTTGCCTGAGTTCCTCGGAATCCCTTCCTAAGGGTATCAAATGAGTATCTGCTCTGCATCTTCAACAACAAAAACAGATGGGAATGCACATTCTCCACAATTTCCTTGACCCCTTCAGCACTCTCTTAATCCTGTTCTCATCCTATAGTCAATATAACAATATAGTTCTCAAAATATTTTATTGGGTTCCTTATTATCTTTTTGTTGTTCCTTTGTGCAAGTTTATCTTCATTGTCTCCTCCTCCTCTACTTTCTTCTCTTTTTTTGTCCCTCAGTTGAGCAAAACTTTGCTTTTGTAAAAGTTATGAAAGTTACCCAATATATCAATACAGAAGTCTATGATTTTAATATAGCTTTAATTGAACTAGGGAAGTGGCCTAATGATGAGGCAAAGCTCCAGAGGAAAGTAAGTAGAAAATTGCATCATTAGATAGAATGAAAGGAAAGGGGAGGAAAAACTGAGGCAGAAAGAGCTTACAGGACAAACAGCAATGGATGGATCTAGTGAGACTGTAGGGAAGGGAAAATCCAGAAGCCTTTTGTTTACTTGCATCAGAAATCGCTCAGTAAATGCATAAAAAGTTCTGTCTGAAAGTTTATAAAACTCATCCTGCTCCTGCAATCCTACAGAATTACAGAAAAATTGCAGAAAATTGGAGTGAAAGTTTAAATTGGAATGGCCAACAATAATAAGAACAAGAGCAAGAGAAATGACATCCTTTTTCTGAAACACACGAAGAAAGGTGTCAAGACATGGATCATACCATACCTTAGTCATAGTATTCCATATCATTAAATCTCACAATATTTGTGTTCCTGTCTATTTGTTCAAAACCAGGGTGCAAATCACAGCCTGTTTTGTCAAGATACTGTTTTATTTCAAATCAATAAAATAATCTGTAAGTGGAATGAAATCTTGGAATAGACACCAAATGGAATAAGTAAATAAAACTTTAGAATAGACCTACTGGCACTCATGTTTTAGGAGGAATACATTGCCAAAATCAGTTGTTCCCAACTTTTTTTTTTGGACCAGGGACCACTTTGACCAGGGACCACTTTAACTAGGGACCACTCTCCAATATTAGTACCAAAAGGGTTATGGTCAACTTTAGTTCCGGTTTGGTTATTTGGGTGCTGATTCAGAAAATTGCATTGGATAGACCACATCAGCTCTAGTTTCTGATAAAGGACAAATGCCATCCAATAGTCACCATCTGCTTGCCCACAGAAAACCATATTTCACAATCTAGAGCTGATGTAGTCTATCCAACACATTTTTCTGAATCAGCAACCCCAAATAACCACAGGAACAGGCCTAAAAACAAAGACACCAAGGTGTCCCCACTTCCAGGCATCATGTGAAATGGCTCCAGTGGGTAGTCAGCCTCTCCTCTC